CTGTGGAGCAGGCGCGCGAAAGCAGCGATGAGTGGCGCCGCGATCAGCCACCTGTGGGCGGTCGTCGGGGTCGCGGTCAAGCTCGCGACGGGGTGAATCTGGTGCGTCTAGTATCACTGGTGGGCTGGGTGTGCAGCAGCGGCGCTCAAAAAGAGGGGAAAAACTCGGCAACTGTTTGGAGTGTCTACATTCTCGAGGCACCGTTCTCGGCCCGGCCGGAAAGCTGGCTGGTGGTCGCGCGCGGCGCGTCAGCGCCACTCCGACTGGTCGGGCACCTCGGCTGGGTCCATCGGCAAGAGGCCCGCGCCGTCGGGCGGCCCCGGGAGCGCATGATGCCCCTCCGAGAGGCGCTCGCCCCGCCGAGATCGCGCTGGTTTGGCACGAAAAACACCAGGCCCCAAGGGGGGGGGGGTCAAGTATGGTACCCTAGACCTTCCCCGGTCGCCTAGCCTCTGCGCTGTCTGGCGGACGCCTGTATGCCATGCGCGCGGACCACGCTTGCGTGGATTTGTGGCTGGCAGGCTGACCCGTGTGCGGGGTAACCCGCGCACGGGGAAGCTTCACGGGTTCGAGTCGTCAAACATTAAGCAGCGGAGGTATGCCGAGGGGGACCGGGAGGCGGTAAGTCGTCGTCGCCCGGCGCTGCTTGCAGCACCATGGCGATGGCGCTAAGAGGTTCCTCTTTTCCGCGCCCCCCCCGCAAGGCGCGCGATACACACTAGAGGTCGATACTCGACGCGTCCTACAAGCCGTACATGGTCTGTGTCGCTGTCGGCACGCTGTCGACAGGACGTCGAGCGACACCCGGTGGCAGTGCCACCCAGGATTGTTGGGCGCTTCAAAAAGAGCTAGTATAAGCCGTGTCCACAGGGCGCTCAAAAGATACGCATTGAGAAAGAAAATACCTTTCACGACAGCGACGGCGCGGGCGACGGCTTCCTACAAGCCGTCGCCCTCACCACAGAAGCCGCGTCATCCGACTGACTCGTCTCCCTCCCACCCACCCACTAATAACTCCGGCGCCCGCCCCACCCACTCGCTCCCCATCCCGACCCCGACGACCCGCCCCGACGCACCCGAGCCGGTTGGGAAGCAAGTTGGGTAGCGAGGATTGGCGTGACGCGATCCATGAGATGGGACGGTGGCGTGAAGGACTGGAAAGAAGTAAATCGGTCGTGTGATGATCTCAGGCCCAGTGAGGTAGTGCATCTGACTATCCCGGATCCTGCTGAACAAGTTCCTCTTGTAGCTCGATCGGTCATACCGCCATCGCCGTCGGGGAGAGGGGGGACGACACTGCTTCGGCAGCGTGCACCTCGATCCTGTACCGTGTTTGTTATGACCCCCCCCGATGAACACATCAGTGAGGGAGGGCGAGACGATCGAGGGGTCCCGTACCATGCGGAATCGACCCTATCAAGTGCTCAAGTGCTCAAGTAAATCGGTTGAGGCTTTCGCTGAGGATCGCAGTCACGATGTTTTCAATTAGCAAGGCTTGGGATTGAGGACGACGCCGGCCACGCGGACGCACGACGCCAACTTCGATAACAAAGAACGCCGCGCGGGACGCCCCGCCGCCCTCTTCCCGCACGTTCGCGACGCGGCGTCCGCCGAGGAGGACGCCGCTTTCCCCGTGGTCGCCTTCGCGGGCACCTTTGCGATATACGCGAGCTGCTACCTCGCACGCAACAACGCTGCCGTCGCAAAGATCGCCTATGGTGGCGCGCTGAGCACGGCGCACCTCGCGAGCGCCGACGCGGCCTTTCTGAGTGCCTACACGCTGTCGTCGTTCCTGTTCGCGTCGGCGTCGGAGAAGGCGGGCGGTTGGCGAGTGGCGTGCGTGGGCCTGCTGGCGGCGGGCTTGTCGCAGGCTGGCGTCGTGACGCTTCCCGGCGGCGCAGCGCCGGACTGGCGCGCACTGGCGGCGTGCTACGCGCTGAACGGTCTGTCGCAGGGCGCGCTCTTCCCCGCGTGCAAGGCGGTGCTCGCCAACTCCATCCCGGCGAGGATCCGCGGCAAGGCCATCGCGGCGTGGAACACGTCCTTCTACCTGGGCGGTGTGGCTGCGACGGCCGTCGCCTCGCAGCTGCTGAGCATGGGCTACGACTGGCGCGCGCTCTACTTGCTGCCGGCGTGCCTGCTGTCGAGTCTCGCGCTGGGGCTGCTGCCGCTCGACCCGGGCGAGGGCACCGAGTTTGGCGCTGGGTTGGCGCCAGGGGGGACTACCGCCATCGCCACCGCCACCGTCTCCAGCAGCGGCGGCTACGAGCTGTGGGGCTGCGGGCTGACCTACGCCGCGGTGAAGATGCTGCGATACTCGCTCATGCTGTGGCTGCCGCTGCTGCTGGCGGACCGCGGGCTGGCCGTGGCGCTCGCAGCTGCGACGGCGGCGTGCGTCGACATCGGCAGCGTGGCGGGGTCGGTGGTGGGGGGCGCGGTGGTGGACAAAACCAAGGGCGACGCCGATTTCGCCGCGATGGTTTCGCTGGTGAGCCTGGGGCTATTGCTGCCGCTGCTGCCGACGGCCGCGACGATCCCCGACGCGATGCTGCGCCAGCTCGCGCTAGTGGGCGCCGCGCTCAGCGTTGGCATCGCCACAGGCGCGGCAGAGACCGTGCAGGGCTCGCTCGCGCCGCTGGCGATCGCCGAGCGCCTCGGCGGCGCGCCCGGCCGTGCGGTGGGCTTCGTCAACGGCTGTGGCTCGGTGGGCTCTATGTTGGCCGCGCCGCTGTTGCCGCTGCTGTCGGTGCTGGCCGTGCGCATGGGGATGCACTCCACCGACGCGCTCGGCCTGCTCGCGCCCGTCGCCGGCGCGAGTGCCGCCATGGTCTACGTTTTCGGCCGGAAAAGAATCGGCCGCAGCAAAGCTGGGTTGTTGCACGAGTATATGGGACACCGATGTCTCAAATATGAGAGGTTTTGACTCCTACCGGCTCCTGACGCTACTGTATCCCTGGCAAGGGTACCCTGGGTGGGCGGCGGGGGCCTCTACTCGCCAGGTAGGCCGCAGGCCTGGGATGACAAGTGCACCTGGGGCGGGCTGCAACGGCTGCACTTCGTGGTGCACCCCTGCTTGCTTGGCTGAGTGAGATTGTCCTCGCGGGACGTTGCTCGTTGGCACTGCTCATGGGGCGGCGGCGCTTCTGCAGTGTGGGGCGTGGGATGGGGCTGCTCGTGATGGGCGGCGGCCTTCCGCAGTGTGGGGCGGGTTGGGGAGCTGCTCGGCTGACGGCTGCGAGGGCGGACGGGTTGACGCCCGCATACGCCGCCGCTGAGAATGGCCACGTTCACGCGCTCTACTTCTTCTTAGAGCAGTGCGGGCGAGAGGTGCTGACGGCTGCGAGGGCGGACGGGTTGACGCCCGCATACGCCGCCGCTGAGAACGGCCACGTTCACGCGCTGTCGAGGAGCATGCAATGCAGCTGGTAGAGGTGCTGCGCCAGCTCCTCGCAAACCCTCCCAGCACGCGGCCTGGCCGCGCCGCGCATGACTAGCTCGTCGACGGCATCCCAAAAGGCGGGGATCCCGGACAGGCGGCGCAGGGATTCGCGAGCAGTCGACTCGTCCTCGTCGGACGGCAGACCCGCAGTATCAAGCGCATGGCGCACTCGCGCAACACGAGGATCTCTCGAGAGGTCGAACCACTCGGCAGATACGAAGTGGATATCCGACGCTTGGAAGCCGGCCTGAACAAAGATGCGCCGCGCGTCCGCCTTGCTCGCCTCCATGAGTGTTTGCAGGCTTTGGTCAGAGTGGTCGTCCTCATCGAGCGCCTTGTACTCCGCGTCGAGCTTGGTAATGACGATAATTGGCTGGTGGCCGCTGGCTTTGATTTGCCGCAACGCCTCTTGGAGCGGCTCGAGGCTGAGGTCGGTGAAGGAGGCGACGACGATGGGCACGTCACACTTGCGCAGGTGGCGCTCTGCGATGGCGCGTCGGCTCTCGTCGGCCCCAAGCCCAGGAGCGTCGATGATGTTGTAAGGCTGGCAGTCGGCGTTTGCCGTGACGCCGACCGCGATGTGATCAACCACGCTAGCAAGGGCCTTGATGCTCGCACCATCGTTGCCATGGACGCGAGCCCACGCGCTGACCTCCTCCTCTGAAAGTCGCAGCGTCGGAGGCGACTCCTGCTCGCTCCCATCCGGCCAAAGCGAGCAGCCGGCGAGAACGTATTCCCTGGCGAGCGCGAGCGTTTCCTCGTCAAGGAACTCGCGCACCTTCTCCGGGAGCAAGTCGCGCAGCGTCGAGTCCAACTCAGCGACGGCGCTCCAGTGGAAATGCAGTTTAGCGCCCTTGCTGCCGCCACCGACGTCGATTTTGATCAGGTGCGCGGTGCACTCCTTAGAGGAGACAGGCAGCATATTATTCAGTGACGGGTAGCCTGTCTGCAGCAGCCTGCTCTTGCCAACGCTGTACACGCCGTAGACCATCAGCTCAAACCTTTCGTTCTGCAAAGTGCGCTCGAGGCTGCGAAGCTCACTCAGGATGCGGGCGGGAGCCGAGTCGACCGCGCCGCCTGCGCAGTGCTTTGTCGCCACCTCGGCCACCGCCACTGCGCCACGCACGATTTGCAGCAGATCCTCTTGGTTATGCCTAGCCACACGAGCCTGAAGCACGAGAGGTGCTGACACGAGAGGCGCTGACACGAGAGCCGCTCTGTTGCCGCTCAGCGCCTCGCTGCCGCACCGCTCTGCGAGGAAGCGGAGCGTGTCGACATGGCCAGTGAGTGCCGCGGCGTCTGCTGGCGTGCCGCCGTCCGCTTTCGCGGCCGTCAGCACCTCTGGACCGCACCGCTCTGCGAGGAAGTGGAGCGCGTCGACATGGCCACCGAGGGCGGCGGCGTGCGCAAGCGTGCCGCCGTCCGCTTTCGCGGCCGTCAGCACCTCTGGACCGCACCGCTCTGCGAGGAAGCGGAGCGCGTCGACATGGCCACCGAGGGCGGCGGCGTGCGCAGGCGTGCCGCCGTCCGCTTTCGCGGCCGTCAGCACCTCTGGACCGCGCTCCTCGGAGAGGAAGCGAAGCGCGTCGAGTTGGCCGGTCGCAGCGGCGGCGTGTGCTACCTGGCTAGCTAGCAGGTAGGCAACGATCCGAGCATCGCCGGCGTCGAGGCCCTTGATGCTCCAATCCAATGAAGTCGAACTCCACACCTCCTCCTCCGACGACCCCACCTTCTCCCAGAACGCGTCGAGCGCCTCCTGCGCGGGCCGTTCGATCGCCGCCGCCGCCACCGCAGGCGCCGCTGCCGCCGCCGCCGCCTCAGCGCTCAGCACGCCCGCGAGGAGCAGCACGAGGCGCACCTGCCGGTACAGCACCGCCAGCGGCCCCGGCAGCGGCACGCCACGCTTGTCGATCTGCATCACGATCGCGTAGCCCACCGCGCAGACGAGGACGAAGAGCCCTCCCACCGCGGTCACCGAGTAGCCCACCAGCAGCGGCGCCGGCGCCCGGTGCGCAGCATCGAGCGCGACCGCCATCGCGATGAGCGCGACCATGTCGAGCAGCACGAGGAAGCCGCCGAAGAGCAGGATGGCGGCGCCCCGTGGCCCGAGCGACTGCGCCGCGTGGAGCGTGCCCGCGATCCGCTCCACCTCCGCCTCCTGCTCATCACGCAGCCGCTTGGCCTCCAGTTCCAGTTCCACCTCCGCCTCCAGCTCGACCTGCCGACTCTCCACGTCGTCCCGCCCTGCTCGGCCCGCCAACGCGGCGGGGCCCGACAACGCGGCGGGCCGCTCGCTCGAGCTCACTTCGATCGCCGCAGATCCGGCGGATCGTTGGGCCACGTCAGACCCAAAGGCGCCGCCCGACCCGAAGGTGAAGGCCGGCGCCGCCGCGCCCGGAGCAGGGACGGGAGCGGCGCCAAAGTTGAAGACGCCGCCCGCGGCGGCGCCAGCAGCTCCGAACGTGGGCGCAGTCGCGGCGCCGGCCCCAAACGTCGGCGCAGCGGCGGCGCCAGCGGCTCCAAACATGGGCGCGGCGGCGGGGCCAGCAGCTCCGAACGTTGGCGCGGAGGCGTCGGCCGCCTGGGCGCCGAAGGTGAAGATGGCCGCGGGCGGCGCGGCAGAGCCAACCGAGAACTGGGGGGAGGGGCAGCAGGGGTGCGTGAGGAGAAGGGCAGAATGAGGGGTTGAGGAAAGGGTGAACCGAGGAGGGGGGGAAACTTTGGCCAAGGGGGAAAAGGGAAAAGGGGGGGGGGGGGGGGGGGCTGGGGGCCAAGGCAGCGCGCACCGGCGTGGCCGACGCCGCCGCCCCAGAGGAGGCGCCGCCGGAGGAGGCGCCGCCGCCGCCAAAGACGAAAGGCGCGGGCGCGGCCGGCGCGGCGTCTCCCTCGTCAGCCTCCGGCGGCAGCCGGCCGTACGGAGGGTCGGCGGCCGCGGAGGCGTCGCCGGTTTCGGCGGCGCCGCGGACGAGGGCGAGCCACACGTACTTCTCGGGCGAGAGGACATAGAGCAGCGTAAAGATGAGCGCGACGTACCGGTCCTTGCGCCACGTGGCCGCCGTGTCGACGAGGAGGTAGGCGGGGTTGAAGTGCAGGCAGAACAGGGTGAGCGCGATATAGATCGCCTCGCGCAGCGCAACCACTACGCCGAGCATTCGCTGCAGCGGCGACACGTCGTTCCACGAAGCGACGAAGGCGAGGCCGTACGCGATGGGCTGGAGGTGGTGCCAGAGCAGGAGGCGCGCGAACCCCGCAACGAAGGCAGTGTCTTTGTCCATGCCGGTCATCGTTCTCGCCTCTCGCCACGGGATGCGGCTCTGCAGCACCTCGACCATCCCGAGCCCGATGTGGCCGCGGCGGCTCTCACCGCAGCGGATGCCATAGCCATGCTCGCTGATCCACTGGAGCAGGGCGTTGAAGCGCTCGAGCGTGTAGTCGTACAGCGTGCGGAGGTAGTACGGGGTGATCACGAGCACGAGGAGCGTCAGCAGGTTGTCCTGGTGCTGGAGCGTTTTTAGGTCCGCCTCTTCCTCATCGCTCGCAACGATGTGGACGACCGAGTCGAGCAGCGTAGCGGACATGAGGAGCCAAGGACAAAGAAAGGCGTGCACCGAAGGCGTGTCCGCGTCTCAAGATTTAAGACAAGCTGAAGTGTAAAGTGTGTGAGTGTGTGTACAAGGGGCTCCGTTGGTGGAAGGGGCCGTGAGGGAGATGGTGCCGAGAGGGGAGGAGGCGCGAATGGAGACGTCGGCTAAGAGGGAGAAGGCAAAAGTGCAGGGGAAAAAGGTGCGATCGCTGCGGAGCGCTGAAACCTTACTTCAGATGGGGCCTTTTGGGTGGAGATGCTTTGTGGGCGGACCAAGGGTGGATGCGATTCGGGATGCGGAAGTGCAAAAGCACATGGTGAGCGGGTTGGACGGACGATATATGAGTGGAGAGGGGACAGAAATGGTGGACAAATGGCTGCGTCGGAGCGAGGAGCGGGAGGAAAAGGCGATTCAGTGGTCGCTGGAGGAGAGCAATCGGCGGGTGAGAGAAGAAAGGAGGAAAGCTAAGGAGGATCAGAGCGAAGAGATGGAGGTTTCAGAGTCAGAGTCGAGCTGCTGTGATGGGGAGGTGGAGACTTGGAGGCGCTATGGGCGAAGGAAAGGGAGGAAGAAGGCGCGGCTGAATAGGGCAGTAATGAGTTCAGATCCAGGATGGGGTCATGGGAGTCAGTCAGTCAATGAGTACTCGAGTCAGTCGGTCAATCAGTCAGTCAGTGGTGAGCAGAGAGAAGAAGTTCAGATGGAAGTGGAGAGCGGAGGCGATAGCGGGGCAGCGGGGAGTAGCGGGCAGAGTGGATTCGATGGGGGGGGGGTCGTGGAGTCAGATGGTGGGAGGGGATGGGTATGCTGAGGAGGATGACGGGATTATGATGGACTACATGGAGAACGAGGGCGTGGGGAACGACGAGATTGACAGGTTCATGGGGTGGACGACAGTGGATTTGCGATACGAGAGGTTGGAGCAAGCTAGGAGGGCAGGGCCTAGTGTGGACATGCGAACCGGGTTGGAAGAGCGGGGGGCTTCAGGACGAGGATTCAAACTGCGATTTTCTGTTCAGTTGACGCTCGTCGTCCACTGAGGACTCGGTGGTTGTCACCACTTTGTATGCTATTAATATTAACCTTGCGAACTCGCCCCCCCCGGCAGGGCTATGCAGCCGTGACCAGTGTGTGCTGTCTACGCCTGAACCAGGTGTCAAATCTGCCAATGCGTGATCTGTGTGTGGGCCGGTCTGTGACGGGTCCAGGCATTGTCCGACGGGTAGGGGGGCTGTGGCCGGGCGGTGTCCGGTGCGGAGTCTCTCTCTGATCCCGCCTGGGATGTTGGGTGCGAGGTCGTGGAAGCTTCGATCCCAAGGGGGGGAGCTGAGCCCACTCGGTAACCAACTCTCAGGGGCAGAAAGGTGACACGGCGGCGGCGGCGCGGCGCCCCCCCGTAGCGATGTCCCTGGGTGCGCCAAGCGTGTTCAAGCGGAGCGCAAGCAGACGCTCCGGTAATCAGGCCGTGAGTACCAGGCAGGAGAGGGGAGAAGAGCCCAGGGAGGGGGGAGGAGAAGAGCCCAAGAGCCAAGACGGCCTCCCTCTCCCTCCCCTCCCACCGGGCCTCCCTCTCCCTCCCCTCGCACCGGGCCTCCCTCTCCCCCTCCTGCCGCCAAGCACTAATGCACTATCAAACTATTAGCCTGATAATGTACCTAATTATTAGAGGTACCTCTAATATTAGGTACATTATCAGGCTAATAGTTTGATATAGTGCTACCTCTAATAATTAGGTACATTATCAGGCTAATAGTTTGATAACCTCTAATAATTAGGTACATTATCAGGCTAATAGTTTGATAGTGCTGTCTCAAGGGGTCAGCCGCTTGCCGAACCACCTCCGAAGGGGGGGGGTGGACGTACGCCAGCGGCACGAGGGCTTCACCTTCAGCCACACAAGTCACAACTACCATGCTCCATGGGAACGCGACCCACACAAAGCACCACAAAGTTAGGCATACCCCCCGGCGCAGTGTCCCCTGCTATGAATGTGTCGCCGTTTGTCGGGGCACGGTCGCAATCCTGTGCAGTCAGGGCAGCAAGTGGGGGCGGGGTGGACAGCTCGTGTGGGCGGCGTTTAGAGATGAACCTCGACTAAAGCGCGATAAAATCTCCCACTCCGGGGCCCACCCCATACAGCACAGACCCAAAACTACGCGAGAGACGCGGGCGGAGCCACGGCCCAGCCAGCCGTTTCTCGCCCACGGTCGCCCCCGCCCCGAGTCCTAGCCCCCCCTCTCGCCCGCTGCCGCTCGCTCCAGCGCACGCCGCCTCACGCCGCCTCTCCTCTCCGTGTCACCCAGCACACGCTCACGCGCGCGCTCTCACGCCGCCGGAGGCCATCACCGCCGCCGCGCGATTGGCCGCGCGGCTCACCGCTTGCGGATGGTGTCGTCGTTATCCGCGGGCGCAAAGATGAGCTCGCCCGACTCGAGCTTGATCTGGTACGGCGCTACGAGAGCGTGCCTGCTAGTAGAGTTCGCGCATCAACTGCCGGTGGTTCGCTCATCGACTAGCTAATGAACCCGGTACGGCGCTACGAGAGCGTGGGGTAGGAGGGGGGAGGAGAGGGGGGAGGAGAGGGGGGAGGAGAGGGGGGAGGAGAGGGGGGAGGGCGGGGGAGGGGGGGGAGAGGGGGGGGGGGGAGGGGGGGGGGAGGGGGGGGGGGTGAAAGGGCTGTGCGGAGGGGGGAGGAGCAGCAGCGGCAGCAGGGCGGGGACGGGCGCGCGCCTCGGCACGCCAGGAGGGCGGTAGTGATGCCCCACGACAGTGCCGTCCGCCCACTCGCCTACGGGACGTGTCTCGGACGTGTCGTGGGCGTGTCCCGGACGTGACCGCGAGCGGGTGGATCTCCCTCGCCCGGGTCGCCCGGCCGCATCCGGCACGCCACCTGAGTCATCACCAGTGAGCATCAATCAGCTCTCACAAGAAACGAATTAGGCCGCATCCGGCTCTCGCGCGCCTTGGTGCCGACGGCGTAGCGCGGCGGCGGAAGGGACGGGTCGACGCGGCTCGCGGCGCCTGTTCACGGCTCGAGGTGTGAAGAGACGCTGCGCACAGGTCCAGTGGACGCTCGAGCCGAGGCCCGGCGCCTGGTGGTGCATTAGCGTCTTAGCTAAGGAGCCCACCAGTCAAGGCAAGTGCCGTACAGACGCGAGACGCGCGCCGTGCTCGCGGATGATCGCCTCCTCGTCAAACGGCGCCAGCACAAGCTCGCCCGTCGCGAGCTTCACCTGGTGCGGCGCCACCCAGCCCTCAAGGAAGTGTCCAGGAAGTGTCTAGGAAGTGTCTAGGAAGTGTCTCGCCCGTCGCGAGCTTCACCTGGTGCGGCGCCACCCAGCCCTCAAGGAGGTGTCCAGGAAGTGTCTAGGAAATGTCTCGCCCGTCGCGAGCTTCACCTGGTGCGGCGCCACCCAGCCCTCAAGGAAGTGTCCAGGAAGTGTCTAGGAGGTGTCTCGCCCGTCGCAAGCTTCACCTGGTGCGGCGCCACCCAGCCCTCAAGGAAGTGTCCAGGAAGTGTCTAGGAAGCGTCTCGCCCGTCGCGAGCTTCACCTGGTGCGGCGCCACCCATCCCTCAAGGAAGTGTCCAGGAAGTGTCTAGGAAGTGTCTCGCCCGTCGCGAGCTTCACCTGGTGCGGCGCCACCCAGCCCTCAAGGAAGTGTCCAGGAAGTGTCTAGGAAGCGTCTCGCCCGTCGCGAGCTTCACCTGGTGCGGCGCCACCCATCCCTCAAGGAAGTGTCCAGGAAGTGTCTAGGAAGTGTCTCGCCCGTCGCGAGCTTCACCTGGTGCGGCGCCACCCAGCCCTCAAGGAAGTGTCCAGGAAGTGTCTAGGAAGTGTCTAGGAGGTCTGTCGGAAGTGTCTAGGCAGCTTCACCTGGTGCGGCGCCACCCAGCCCTCTAGGAAGTGTCCAGGAAGTGTCTAGGAAGTGTCTAGGAGGTCTGTCGGAAGTGTCTAGGCAGCTTCACCTGGTACGGCGCCACCCAGCCCTCCGGCGCGCCGCTCTCTGCGGGCGGCGTGAAGTTTGTTGCCACGACGACGCCATCCCGCCACTCGTGGCCTATCACGCACTCCACGCGCTCTAGAACGTTCGAGGAAGGCTCCTCGAAGGTTCCTAGAAGCTCCACCGATCATGCCCTCGTCGCGAATTGTCTAGGAAGTGTCTCGGCAGTGTCCAGGAAGTGTCTAGGAAGCTTCACCGATCAGGCACTCCACACGTGCGCCTTCCCTGAAGCGCAGACCGCCGCCGCCGCCGCCGCCGCCGCCCATGCCTCCGCCACCGCGGGCGCGCGTCATGATCGCCGACTGAACAGCGCCGCGGCACGCCTGACAATGTGGTGACAAGGTGGTTGTGTGGTTAAGGTGAGGTGGTTCGGGTGAGCCTCCACACACACACACACGAGGTGGCGGGGCGAGGGCCAGGCTAGTACCTCGCGACTCCACAGCTAGACAGGCAGGAGCGCCACACGGCATTGGAGGTGCAAGGCCCAGTGCGCGTGGGCGAGCGGTGTGGGGTGTGTGGGGGGTGTGTGCGAGCCTGCTGAAAGCCGCGGAAGGCGCCGAGCACCTCGCTGTCGCCTCCAAACTGCTGCGGCACTTTCGCAAGCTCTGCGCATCCGTGCTCCTGCTCAACACCGCGCATGCTGACACAGTGAGAGGGGGGAGGGGTGGGGGGGGGGGGGGCGAGAGAGAGACACAGAGAGAGGGAGAAGGGCGAGAGGGAGGGAGGTGTGTGTGTGTGTGTGTGTGTGTGTGTGTGTGTGTGTGTGTGTGTGTGTGTGTGTGTGTGTGTGTGTGTGTGTGTGTGTGTGTGTGTGTGTGTGTGTGTGTGTGTGTGTGTGTGTGTGTGTGTGTGTGTGTGTGTGATGGGGAGAGATGGGGAGAGATGGGGAGAGATGGGGAGAGATGGGGAGAGATGGGGAGAGATGGGGAGAGATGGGGAGAGATGGGTAAGATCCTGCTCGATGCCGCAGTGCTCGAGGTACTGCCGCTGCAGCGCGACGCAACGCGCCGGCATCGCCTCGGGGCGGCGGCGAGGCGATGAGTCGGAGAGGCCGTCATTAGTAGTCCTCACTGCAAGTCTCACGGGTCTCGCTGTCGTTGCTATTCTTGCTGCTGCTACCTCGGGCGGCAGCGAGGCGAGGTCGGCGACGGCGTCGCCCGAGAGGAGGGCGGACGAGACTCCGGCAAGGAAGCGCAGGAGGAGCTCGCGGGACAGCGGGCCTAGGAAGTGTCTCGGAAGTGTCGGGGAAGTGTCTAGGAAGCGCAGGAGGAGCTCGCGGGACAGCGGGCCAGACGAGAGCAGCTCGCCGCCGGCGGGCGGGAAGCGAGCGCCTGCGTGGGAGGCGTGGGGGAGGTAGGAAGGAGGTAGGAAGGAGATGTGGAGGAGATATGGGGAGATATGGGGGAGGTATGGGGAGGTGTGGGGGAGGTGGGAAGGCGCCCTGGTCCGCCGATGGCGCTGACGCGCGGCGAAGGAACGCGGCCTGCGCCGAGTTTTGGCACGCCTTGACAAACTCCTGGAAGGCTGCGAGCACTTCGCGGTCGCCGCCAAACCGCTGCGGGACCTGCGAGACGAGGATTGATTTCGAATGGCCAGCAATCGATCATTCAGAACGAACGAGCCGCGGTGCGGGACCTGCGAGAGCTGCTTGCAGCCGTGCTCCTGCTCGATGCCGCAGTGCTCGAGGTACCTGTTAACAATTAACTAATGTTTATTCATTATCAACTAGTGCTCCTGCTCGATGCCGCAGTGCTCGAGGTACCTGTTAATAATTAACTAATGTTTATTAATTATCAACTAGTGCTCCTGCTCGATGCCGCAGTGCTCGAGGTACTCCCGCTGCAGCGCGATGCAGCGGGCGGGCATCGCCTCGGGGGGGAGGGAGGCGAGGTAGTCGATGGTGCCGTCGCTCATCAGCACCGCCGCGATCCCCGTGGCGAACCGCAGCACCTTCTCGCGCGAAAGGGAGCCAGACGACTGCAGGTCGCCGGCGGCGCGGGCAAAGGACGGCGCCGGCAGCGCCGCCGCGCCACCCTCGCCACCCTCGCCCGAGGGGGAGAGCCGGAGCTTTGTCATGGCCTCCGCCGCCGCGTCCGCGGCACTCTCCGCCGCGGCCGCCGCGTCGCCGCCGGCGCCCGCCGCCGGCACCGCTGGCTCCTGCGGAAAGAGCACCGCGTGCAGCGCCGACGAGTAGTTGCGCCAAAAGGTGGCCTCGCTGAGCTTCTTTGGGACGAGCCGGCCGCAGCGCTTCTGCACGCGCGCGTCAGCCTCCAGCGCCGCCGCGGCCAGCGCGAGGAACGGCTCGGACATGCCCTCCTCGTCGAGCTGTTGCTCCTCGGGCCAGGCTGCGGCAAACGCGGGCGACGCCGCGGTGGAGGGCTGGAGGAAGGCGGCGTCGGAGGAGCTGAGAAGATGCAAGTCCGCGACCAGCGCGCTCGTGGACTCGATCGAGGCGAGGCGAGCCGTGAGCTCCTTGCACAGCGTGCCAGCGCTCGACATGGCTAGAGACCTTGCTCGCCCGGGGGTTGCGGTTTCTTTTTGAGAGCGCCTTCGTTGTCCCCTACCGCGTTGGTGTCCAGTCCGAGCCTGACTGTTCTTCACCTTCCTACATACATACATCGTTGTAATAATACAAACCCAATGGTCCCTTGCGAGCGGTCTTTCTTTTCTTTTTCAGCGTTGTAGCTCTGACGTTCATTCCCGATCTATCTATCCATCTATCTACATTCCCGTAGGAGGACTCTGCTGACAGGGTTTGCGATGAGGAGCGAGCCGAAGGGTTTCTCGGAAGTTAGTGCACCACTAACCGCCGAAGCGCAAGCGCTTGGAGCAAGAGAACTGCGACGCATCGGTCTCACTCATACTAGCACCCCACCTCGCGAGCCGACGTTCTGGCTCAGCCGGCTGCGCCGCTCTCGGTTTCTTTTTATGCACTTTGCAATCGGGACGCCGTAACTGTCATGTCGGTAGCCGCTCTGAACCGCTCGCTGCTGGAGCGCGGTTGATCGCGGCGCCGACGCCGCGGCGGCGCCATCTCGCGCGGCGAGAGACGGCGCTGCATCGGCGCCAAAACAAACGGGAGGTCGCGGCGCGGCCGCGGCAGCAAAAACCTACGGGTATGTTCGTAAGAGCTACATACACTGAGAGAGAGAGAGAGGCCTAGAGAACACAACCCCCTCTCTCTTTTTTTTGTTTTATAACTCCCAGTCAGGCGAGGCACGGACGAGACCGTGTGTGGGGTTAGTGAGGTGTCTATGGTCGCCCTCCTCACGGGCTAGCCGCCAGCGGCCAGCCCTATCTCGCACTCGTAAGTCATGCTAAAAAAAAGAATTTAAACAAAACAATTCTTTCTCACAGCACACAGGCTCGACACAGGTGCGAACTGGCGCGTGCTAGTACTATCACCGGCACACCACCGGAGCCGCCTAAGCGACTCCGTTAAGAACGGCAATGCACTTAGCTCCGTGCACAATGCCGCTGTCCCCGCACGCTAGCTCGTTCACCGTCTGCCACGCCACGGCGGTGTGGAGAACGACAGACAAGCGCTGCATCTGCAGCCCGTGCCAGTTCTTGGTGGTCCATGTGACCTCATCGAGGTGCTGAGCGTGCGAAAGTTTGTTACTCAGCTGGTCCGCCGCCTGCCGAAGAATTTTGCGGACGCCGTCCCCGAAGCCGCCGAACGTCTCGAAGTCGAGCAAACGCAGGTCGCAATTCTTCTCCCGCGCGAACCGGTAGTCGCCCTTCTTGTAGCGGCCGTCACAGGTGCCCCCGCCTCCGCCTCCCCCTCACTCTCCCCCTCCTCCTCTTCCGCCGCCGCCGCCTCCGCCTCTGCATCCTCCGCCTCCCTCCCCCCCTCCCCCCCCCCCCTCCGGCCGCGGCCATGCAGCATGCCCTAACACTAAGTCGAGCAGCGCCCGCTCGGTGTTGCCGAAGGCGACAAAAGCCCCCTTCCAGCCGAGCCGATCGCCACCCTGCACGCAAGCGAGCTCGTGAGTTTCAAGTCGCCAACGAGGCGCACATGCCCTTTGCCGATGTTCGCCGCCGCCACGTCAGGTTGTTTTGGGTTACTGTAACTGAGGTGTGCAGTCGGCTCCATCTCGATGAGCATGCCCCACGCCGAGCGAAGGGTCTTGACGAGTCGTTTGAGCAGGTATTTGTGTCGTGTCGCGTGCTTCGCACGCGGGTTGACCATTGCGGCATCGCCGAGTTCTTCGTGCGGCTTGCCGTTTGGCGCCTTCTTGCCCGCCTCCACCGCCTGGCAGATAAACATAAAGAAAAAAAAAGGAATACACGGGTTTCACCTTACCCAGCACACGCCCTCACTGCCTCGGGCGTCGGCGCACTTTCCTCCGACGCTCACATGCGAGTGCGGACGCCCTTCCGCTGCTCCCCTCACCCGTGCGAGTACGAGATCGCCTTTGTCTCCGACGTGGAGGGCGACCTCGACTACTTCAACCGCTGGGTGGCAGGCTCGCGCTGCGTGGCGTACACCGGCAGCGACGAGGCGGCGCTCACGCTCACGCACGCACGCGCGTATTTTGTGTACGGCGGCGACGTGCCGGATCACGGGCGCGGCAGTGAGCAGCTGCTCCGGCTGCTCGTCGGCCTGAAGCGCGCCTTTCCTCGCCGCGTCGCGCTGCTGGTTGGCAACCGCGACCTCAACAAGCTGCGGCTCACCTCCGAGTGCGCGCCGAGCGATCTAGCGCGGCCGCACTGGTCCATCCCAGCGCCGCACTGGGACGCCTCGGCGCCGACGCTCTCGCAGCATCTCGAGCAGGTTGCAGCGGCGCGCGGCGGCGCGACGGCAGAGTCTTGCGACTGTGCCGCCGAGCGGCTGCGTTGGATGTACGAGAACACGCTCGGCTGCCCGGCAACGTTCGAGGCGCGGCGAGCCGAGCTCGCGGCCTTGCGGAGCGTCGGAAGCGCCACCGGCGACAACGGCGGCGGCGGCGGCGGCGGCGGCGCGGTCGCTGCGGTGAGCGATGAGGGAGGTGTGAACATCGTCTCTTCACACCCCCACTGCTGTGAATAGGCGGCGCTGCGGTGAGCGACGAGGAGGTTGTTGCGGCAGCGGTGGCGGACGTGATGCCGGGCGGTGCGATGCAGCAGCCTGCACGCCTGCTCATCACACGCACTTCTCTCGCCCTCCTCTCTCCCTCTCTCTCCCTCACTCTCCCTGTCTCTCTCCTTCTTCTCCATACATTGCGAGGTGCAGCCGAGATCACCCGACAGTATCACACAGGTGCGATGAGCAACTACTTGCGCCACGCCTTCTCGGAACCTTCTCGGAACCTTCCAGGAACCTTCGCAGGTGCGATGAGCAACTACTTGCGCCACGCCTTCTCGGAACCTTCTAGGAACCTTCCAGGAACCTTCGCAGGTGCGATGAGCAACTACTTGCGCCACGCCTTCTCGGAACCTTCTAGGAACCTTCCAGGAACCTTCGCAGGTGCGATGAGCAACTACTTGCGCCACGCCTTCTCGGAACCTTCTAGGAACCTTCCAGGAACCTTCGCAGGTGCGATGAGCAACTACTTGCGCCACGCCTTCTCGGAACCTTCTAGGAACCTTCCAGGAACCTTCGCAGGTGCGATGAGCAACTACTTGCGCCACGCCTTCTCGGAACCTTCTCGGAACCTTCCAGGAACCTTCGCAGGTGCGATGAGCAACTACTTGCGCCACGCCTTCTCGGAACCTTCTAGGAACCTTCCAGGAACCCTCGCAGGTGCGATGAGCAACTACTTGCGCCACGCCTGCGTCGCCGCAGTCTTTGGCCAGACGCTCTTTGCGCACGGCGCCGTCGACGCGCGGACCGCCGGGTGCGAGACGGACGTCACGCTCCCGCTGCTGGGGGCCTTCCAGGAGCCTTCCAGGAACCTTCTAGGTACGTGCCGGACGACTCGACACGCTTCTGCTTGCCGGCGGCGCCGCAGGCTGGGCGGATGGTCGATTCCGTGTCCGAGTGGGTCGACGCGCTGAACGGTCTCCCCACAATCCCCCCCCCTCCCCC